AGCTAATGGTTTATTTTGTTTTTGACAATACGGGGGATTCCAAACTGATAACGTATTGATATGTTTTGCTCACCATTATTTTTCCTTTATTCGATTTTTTCAAACAGGTTTCTTTCTTTTATCATACCAACTATGGCCAGAATGAGCCTATAGAAAAAATTTTGAGACTTGCAAACACTTACAATGTGGATTTACAACTTTTTGATTCTTGTTTGGATTCATTTAAAAAAACTGTGAAAAGATTTAAATTGATTGGCTCATTTTTGCCTTTCCTTTTTTTATGTATTTTTTCCTTACATCTAGCCAATAGTTAAGTACCTATGTGTGAATTTGTTAATTATTTTGTAAAAATTCACGTTGGGATGGAATCAGATCTGCACTTGAGTGAATGGGAGATTGTTGATCCAAATATTTCCTTTTATTCTTCAGACAATTCAAAGCAGTTTTTTCATATGGAAAATATATTTTCATATAATCATATTTTTAGATATGTTTGCCGTATCTTGTAATTCCATGTGTAGTACTTCGTCGTCTATACTCTGCCCATCTAAGCAACAGAGTGCTCCAAAACATTATCATGCATAGTGCACGTGATCTCCCAGACAAGGCTGCTTGTACAAAGTCACACTAAGGAATGACCGATTTTTTTTTAATAATATGCGGCTGGGTATAGAAAAAATGTATGCGGAGTGTAGGGACACAAATTAGCAGTTTCTTCAGCTGCATGAGTACTTGACACTTTAAAAGTTTTAAACTTTAAAATTCCGTATATGTACACAACACAGGATTCAAAACATAACTGACCACTCCAATACTGTAACATGAATTCTGCCAGTCGATTACAGTTGAATCTGATTGGCAAGCGTAAGAAACCAGTGTTGAATCAAGTTCTCCAGGATGGTAGAGAAGTGGAAATAAGATAGAAAAAGTAAAAATTAATAACTAATATCGATTTTGAACACCTACCAGGTACAGTATGTATACATCATTATGTGCTATGCTAATCCTACATTTACCTCCTCTTCACATATATCTAAGGGACTAGATGGACAAAATCCAGAATTGTGCATAATGCCAATTGCACAAAACAGGCTTATGTGGATTATAGCAAACTACAGATCGACACTAAAAGTCACATATTGTGGGAATGCCCTTCAACATGATAATCAACTATGACCTATCCATATCTGACCTGAATGTCAGAAGTTGGACTTGTTTGGTCAAGTTTGAATAAGTCTGAGATACAATAAACCCTAGCGAGATGCAGTGGAGTGTTGAATATTTTGGACATACCTACCTAATAGAGATAATTTTTTTTTAAGGTCAATTCCACAAAATGAACAGACCACTAAGTTTTCCAGGCTGTTTGAGGAGACCAGACATGGATTGGAGAAATAAAAAACTCCCAGCTTTTACTTTTAATTTTCAGTTGTACTGGTTCTTTCAGGGATTTCAAATCATTTTATATAATATTAGACAATGGAAGTCCGAACTAATGAAATTTGATTAGGAATTCTCTAACGCACTTCAGAAATATGCGTGTCACTTCATTGTTTCTCATATCTTACGGAAGCCTATTATAAAATTTCATTGATCTGTAGATGTTGCTCCGTTAGTACAGAGCTTCTATGTGGTTAGGGTACGCAAAATCATCTTCATGCCTTGTTCCATAATTATGCTTTTTACTATGTTTTTCAAAATAATCTTTATTTTTTATGAGAATTAAATAGATTCAAAAAAATAAACAGCTACAAGAATCCCAAAAAACCACTACTGAAAAGTAAACGTACCACCCTTTTTTGTCATAGAAAAACTCTGTTCAATTCGTTACTCGATCTCCACACAGTTTTTCCTAACCTTATGGCTAAGAAAAAATTTGCGTAATATATAGTGACTGATTTTTCAAAATTTACATATTTCTTTAATATTCTTACATTACTGTAGATAATTTGCTGCATAGATTATCTATCTGTCTTGGCCAACTCAAATTATCATCTATTTTGATACCTAGAAACTTTGGTTTTTCTATACCGTTATTGGTCTTCAACATAATGCAGTCAGGTTTTTCGTAATTTAGAACCAAGTTGTTCTCTAGGAAATATTCTTTGCATTTTTTAATCATGACACTATCGTTCTTGATCATATCTGTAAATTTGGCGTAATTGATCAGATCAGCAAAGTTAACATTTTTCGTAACTTCTTTGAAGTCGTAACAAAAATATCAAACCATATTGGGCCGAGAATACTACCCTGCGGGACTCCCATCGAGGTTCCCAAAGCCCTTGATCTAACTATTGTATTTTTCTGATTGAGTTCTACCATTTGCTATCTGTTTTTCAGATATGAATCTATACAATCAAAGGCCTTGGACAAATCAATGAAAATGCCGCAGGCCAGATCTCCCTTCTCCATTGATTCCACAATTTCATTATTGAAGTGGATCAAAGCTGTTTCAATAGACCTCTTTTTCAGATAGCCGTATTGGTGATTGGAAAACATATTGAAATTTGTAAAGAATGATATTAGTCGGTTAGCCATTGCTCTTTTGAAAAGTTTAGACATACTCAGTATGTCTAAACTTTTCTTTAAAATGGTTTTACTATGGCCACTTTGAGTTCATCTATAAAAATACCTTGCTTAAAAGATTTGTTGATTAGGCAAGTTAAAACGTCTACAATTGCACGAGCGCACCTTTCCAAAATATAGTTAGGTACTTCATCGATTCCCGTGCTTTTGTTGTTCTTCACATAGTAACTCACATTCTGTAACCGGGTGCAAGAATAATGTATGGTTATGAAAATCTATTGCTCTTCCAAAACCATTTTAAATGATACAAATCTAATATATCCAACCCCCTCAGATGGTCTGGAAAACTTGAACATTTATTCTTGTTGAAACGATCACCAGAAATAAGATCTCAATCTGAAGGTATGCAAAATCAGTTTTTCATGACAATTTTTTTTAGTATTTTCATCATTCAGCCTGAAAAACTAGACGTATCACTTATTCCACTGAGCTGATCAGAAGGCATATTATTTTGGAAGATAGCACAGGTCTGTGCTATCTTCCAGATAGTACAGCAGATGAAAAAATTGTAGGATATTTAACTAGTGATTTCAACAGTATTTTGTGTACAAATTACGGAACCTATTTGTGAATTTGTTAATTATTTTGTAAAAATTCACGTTGGGATGGAATCAGATCTGCACTTGAGTGAATGGGAGATTGTTGATCCAAATATTTCCTTTTATTCTTCAGACAATTCAAAGCAGTTTTTTCATATGGAAAATATATTTTCATATAATCATATTTTTAGATATGTTTGCCGTATCTTGTAATTCCATGTGTAGTACTTCGTCGTCTATACTCTGCCCATCTAAGCAACAGAGTGCTCCAAAACATTATCATGCATAGTGCACGTGATCTCCCAGACAAGGCTGCTTGTACAAAGTCACACTAAGGAATGACCGATTTTTTTTTAATAATATGCGGCTGGGTATAGAAAAAATGTATGCGGAGTGTAGGGACACAAATTAGCAGTTTCTTCAGCTGCATGAGTACTTGACACTTTAAAAGTTTTAAACTTTAAAATTCCGTATATGTACACAACACAGGATTCAAAACATAACTGACCACTCCAATACTGTAACATGAATTCTGCCAGTCGATTACAGTTGAATCTGATTGGCAAGCGTAAGAAACCAGTGTTGAATCAAGTTCTCCAGGATGGTAGAGAAGTGGAAATAAGATAGAAAAAGTAAAAATTAATAACTAATATCGATTTTGAACACCTACCAGGTACAGTATGTATACATCATTATGTGCTATGCTAATCCTACATTTACCTCCTCTTCACATATATCTAAGGGACTAGATGGACAAAATTTTAACAAAATCAAAACATCTATTTAATTTATTGTACTTTATACTTTATTGATACAAGCAACTACAGATCTGTAATGATAGAATTACTCGCAACTCTGAAATTTATAAAAACAATTTTCAACCAGCAAATTATGGTATAAATAAATAACAAAACTACTAAGAACTTCATCCCCACATTGATTTACTGATTAATAACTGATGAACCTTGTTAATTTAAACCCTCATTGTATATGTACTACTCTGTAATACTGCAAATATTTTTGTTAGTGTATTTTCTTTAATGAATCTTATACAGTTAAAAACACAATTACTGGGACAATTACAATAAAAAACAAAAAACTAAAGCTTCATCTCTTGTGAGGCATTAACAAAATAAATCAATCACTTGCCTCTTAAAGTATAATCAAAATAATAATTTAAAAAACATCTACATTTTATTGTTGAATGAAAATTGTATTTCATAATACCTACATTAGTAAACCGTTCAACTTTATAAAAACTTTTCTTAGTGTAGAAAATAATTCCATATAAAATTCTTATCAAAATCTTTAAAAAAACCTTCATGGAAACGCCTATGGTTATGTTTACAACTTTAAAAGTAGGCGTTGCACATTCCAATCTGTTGACTTTATTTACATTAATATGATGAACAGCATGTAAGAACCAATACCTGCCTTAATTTATCAAAATTTTCATTTTTATTTTATTTAGGTAGAGATATTTTAATTGAATATCATATGGGCATGTCAAGGTCCTAAATTTGTAAGGAAAACAAATGAAATGATGGAATGTTTCTTACATATAACAGGTAACAGCTTAATGATCATATTGATTCTTACATTACCTGCTCAAACAGGAAATATTTTCAGTAAATTGAAATCCTCATTTGTACAGGTTATATCAGAACATAAAATATTCTTGATGAGTCTGCAATCTAGAGTACAAGTTTTGGGATGAAATAAATTACATCATGAAAGTAATGTGAAATAATAACGGTTCTCAAATAAGTTGAAAATATAATGAATGTTGTACTAATAAAAGGACATGGATGCAACAATTAAAAACGTGTTTCACCAAATCACATCATCAAGCAGTAATATAATTTTTCTACTCACCATTTCTGGAAACATCAAGCTCGACGAGATGTTCAAAGTTTTGAATATCTGATGGTAAATTGTTAATTTCATTGTCACTTAATCCAAGTTTTCTCAGGCGATGCAAGCGAAAGAAATTCTGTGGAAAATAAAGACTAGTTATGCTAAATAAATAACTATTTTTGTTTTGTTCACCTTTGGAAGAACTTGTATTCTATTGGCATCTAGTAGGAGCTCTTCTAGGCTCCTAGAGTACCTCAAAATATCCTCTGGAACATTTATTAAAGAGCAATGTCTCTTATCTACATATTCAACTTGTCTGTTGCAACCTTTAAAAATTGGTATACACCGAAACATGTCTACATGAACTTAAAATGCATTATTTTTCACTATCACTTATTAAAAATCACTTTTTATTCAAAGTATGCACATTTCTTAAACAAAACATGGATTTTTATGACCTGAACCGACCATCATCCGACACTCGACCACTACACTAACAACACGGAACATCAAAACAGAAAAACACCACAGAATTGACGGATGAGGCCACCAAAACCGCTCACACACTAATAAAATAAAAATCCCTAGGTCTCACAACTAAAGTAACTCAGTAATGTGTTTTATAAACCCAGAATCGCCAGCCTTGCGTTATTTTTACATAGCTGAACCTAAAAAATGAAAATATTCAGTTGAGAATATATACATTATTACTAGCTTGAAAGCAGACAATTTTACAAATATCTATATTTTCAACAGGTCAGATCATCACTAATAATTTAATGACATTATGCTTAGATGTGACAGTATGATCTATCCCCGTCAGTTAAACAGAATAAGGAAATATATGGACTAAAACAGTAACATATAAATGCATCCAACATGGATTGAAGGGCTCTTTGTAATTTGTATACAAGATACGTGTATTTCGCGACAGTTAAACCATGGCTCCCGTGGTTAAGAGAGAGAAAGATCTTAATCTCACTTTCTCCATAATATAATTTGAAAATTCCAACTTTAAATTGTTGCAATTGACTGTTGCAACTTTAAACTGTTGCAATAGAAATAATGTTCTTAAATTCACTCCTGAGCTCATCAATCCACTACAATAATTTTTCATTCCTGGATTAATTTTAGTCATGATACCAATCAAGTTTTTAAATTTGTGATTAGTGATCCCAAACAACAAACAACACATAAATATTCGAAGTATATCCACTGAACATCAATTTATATCCACCGAAGAATATTAATTCCAGGTTCACTGAGTGATATTTACCTCTACTGACTGCTGTGTAGAACCGGTGGAACTATTCTCAGAAAATATTGAACGGATATCATATAGACTTTCATTTCATGTTCAAGAATATGTTGACCTGAATTCTTCTGTTAGTATATTCAGGAAGAACCGCGTTTTATCAAGCAAATTGCTGTCAACAATGATTACACGGTAGATTTCATTCATTGCAAAAACTTCATATTAGGGAAAGTGGAAGGGCTTTTTCCAAAGAATAAAAGAACATAGTCGTAGTTTTTTGAATGTGAATAACAATTTCGCATGAGCAAACAATCTTTCGGCAGAGAACACGGCCTTAACGTGTTACATTTGTAAGAGAAAAGTTAGAAACTCAATTTTTTGAATGTTTAGAAATGAATGCATTCAAGAATTCTTAAAATTCACTGATAAATGACCAGATACAATTTAATTCTGCTGAACCATTCAGTATTTTTGAATTCTTCTGAACATTGTCCAATGGGCGTGATAGTTGAGAAATTTCGTTTCCGCACCCAAAATAATAGAGATCGTAAATTTTTATTCTCCATAACAGAGGATTACTCCGCGACAGAACTTGAAAATGCTGTATGTCAACCATCAACCAATAACAAATAAAAACGAAAAATTAGAAGCGTTACCACCAGATCATGTCCCTCTAATAAGAAATCTGCTGAAGCCTATTTAAACGATACATTTTTTTTGTGATGAACCTGATTTAAACTGACATTTTATTAAAAGACAAAAAAGATGAAAACTCTTTGCAAACATGGTGGTGTATCAATATTCTTACAAAACGATCTGATGTTTCGACCACTTGATTCAAAAAGATTTTCTAGTGAATTTCATGCAGAATTTTGTGTAATTGAGATTCCTAAAATGAAAATCTTAATTGTAACACTCTACAGACCCTCGCTTGCCTTGGTGAATTGTTGGAATTTCTTACTGGCAAAATATCTAATATCATAATTGTCGATGATTTCAGTATTAACTTCAGAGGAACAGGAAGAGCATTATCAGAACTCGTTAATCTTGTAACATCTTAGGGTCTAGATATCACCATTGGAGATTTCACGAGGTTTGATATAAGAGCAAACTCAAAAACCTGCATTGATAACATATTCACCAACCTAAAATCGAAGAAATATATAACAAGAGTAAGAGTCCTTGATTTCATGTTTATCTGATCATTTTGGTCAAATTATTGAACTTGCATTAACTAATGTTCAGAAACCTAAGGTTGTTTTAAGAAATGTATTAAATACATCCAACTTGAGAAACTTCAAACAGCAATTGGCAAAAGTGAATTGGGATGTATTTACTCATACAAAAGAAATTGAGTCCTTATCATATTTCATGATCACCACACTGAATACCTACTTATGTTAACAAATGCTTTCCATTAAAAAAAAGGAAACAAGATACAAGATACCACTCCAGTCAAATGTTTCAATGATGAATCAAGACACAAGAAGGATCCATTGTCCGCATTGAAAACCATCAGTGCCTCATCTATATATAGGAACCCACAGCATAGATAAATTTTTTAAGTCTTACCGAAAGCACTACAATTCTTCACTAAAATGTGCAAAAAGAAAGGCATATGATAATTATATCAAAAAATCTACCAATATCAGTAGAGATTCTTGGTGGTTGATCAATTACGAACGTAACAGTTGTCAGAATATTAACACCCACTGTGACTTGACGATGGAAGAATTCAGTGGTTACCACTCAATGTAACTGCCTCGGATTTCTCGAAATCCAAACCCAGACTGAAGGACGCATTTTTTCTTATTCCCGTATTATTAGAAGATATCATCATTGGTATAAATGAACTCAAAAATAGTAACTCTTGGGTAAACCTGTACTTTAATCAGGGTATATTCCCAAGCAGGGCCGTGGCGAATAGAAACGGGGGAAGGGAATCCAAATTTTTCCAACCCCACCAGCAAAACTTCCCAACTTTCGAAAAAATGAAAGCCGAGGGATTAGTTACTACTATTATATATTGATTTTCTTACTTAGTTATCCAAAGATTGGCTGAATGATTTTGCCCGTTAGGGTATGCACAAACAAAAATAAATTTTGGTAATTATAAAAATAATAATGGGAAATATTCTACTTTGGACCAAGGTCCTTGCATGGTCTTCCACCATATCCACCATGTATAGGAATATTCAATACAAATGAAAGGAAACAACACTTGAATAATATTGTGCTTATTGTTTTCTACTATTATTTTTTCTATTTTCACGGCCCGAAATTTCACAACTTTTCCAAATCGAAAAAACAGCGAAAAGTTGGGAATTTTGTAAAATTGTCACTTCAAAATTTGTGGACTGTTCAGGACTGTTCTCTTACTTAGGAGAAATTAAACTTTTTTGAAGTTTTCAAACAACTCAGAATTTCAAAATAAGGGATCTCCAAGTTATGCATGTTGGGAAATCCCAACCTTCTCCCGGTTCTTTTCTTATTACCTCTCCCTTTCTTTTCTCTCATTTTTATTTTTTTAATTTTCATCATTTCTTTACTTCACGGCCCAAAATTTCCCAACTTTTTCCCAAGTCGAAAAACCAGGGGGGAGGCTCCCCCCATGGCGACGGCCCTGTTCCCAAGTAATTTGAAAGCGAGTAAGCTGATTCCGATTTTCAAGAAAGGCAATGTAAATCTTCCCAAAAACCATCGCCCTATCTCCATTATCCCCACAGTTGGTAAAATTGTGGAAACAATAGTAAAAAAATCACTATACAAATACTTTGAGAAATTCATCCTACTTCATAATAATCAATTTGGGTTTAGGAAGAATCGTTTCACAGTTCAAGCTACTGCCAAATTAATTTATGACATAGTCGAGAGTCTTGAACAGGGTAAGCACAAGGCAGTAACCATGTGTGAACTGAGCAAGCAAGGCCTTCGACTGTGTTTCACACACATATTATGGCATCAGGGGCGTAGCACATGATTTTTTTCAAATCCTACCACTCTAACAGATCACGATCAGTCTTTTTGAAAGAAGCCTCTTCAGTAAGCTCACAGTAAAACACGGTTTATCACAGGAATCGGTATTATGTCCACTTTTGTTCATTGTTCATGAGTTGCAAATTTTGTTGAAGTGGTTGTGCGTAATTGATAGTTATTTTTATCAAAGAGTATTCAGCTCATCTTCGTTAGAGTTCTTGAAACCCATATGGCTGATCAGATTATCGGAACCTTCTACAGAAAAGTACGATTTGCGCTTGAGCCCAGAAGGATTCTACTCCATCAAACTATCGACTCCAATTCTATACTTATAAATGCGAAAGTCTTTCATACGAAAAGAAAGACTTCAATTAAACGTTTCGCCTCTGGCCAGTTATTGAACATATTTGATAAGTATAACTACGCCTGAATATTTCTAATCTGAATATTGGCGGTGAAAGGGTTCCTTTATATCGGATATTTAGATTATTTGTATCGGATCGATAGATGATTTTTCTGTGCAAATATGAGTGTTTCAGTGCGTGTCTCAGTTCTGTAGGATATCGAATATAAAATTTTGTTTTGCGAATGGGTCTTGTTACATTTTGTTGTACCAAATCTACCACACAGTTCTTTAACTTCAAAAATTCTAACAATTTAACCACACTTCATAATAAAACTACCCCTATTACCCCTACACATAGCAAATGAACATTCCAACAAAATGTAAAAAAAAGACCCATTCGCAAAACAAAATTTTATATTCGATATCCTGCAGAACTGAAACACGCACTGATATACATATTGACACAACGTTTTCCATCAACTATAACATTAATTGAAAGCGCTCGCAGATAATTAATAGAAGATATAAAGCTTCAAATCCTTTTTGTGAAATTTAATATTAAGTGATTTCAGAAACACCAAACCACACTTCTACAATTCTAGTTACTTTCATTCTTTTAAATCATACAATTAGATTTTTTGATATTTTTACCTTTTCCACCAAATAATTTTGTTGAACTCGAATATCTCGGAAAAAACGCAGCTAGTGTAACTAAAAGTGCCATCTCGTGTCAACAGTAACCGTCAATTTAGAATTAAAAATGATATATCAGATTCCTTTTTTACTTCTCTTATTTCTCGTCAAACAAGGATTCTACCTTTATATACCATTCAGTCTATATACAAAGATTCTACCTTTGCATATAGTACTAGTAGATATTAATAATTGTAGATGTCAGCACTATTGCAATTGATGCAAATTGCCTTTCTTATCTTATTGTCTATGGCACCTGTTTAGGCGTATATTTATATTTATTTGATTCGTCCTTGAGTAATTTATTTTTGTGAAGGACCAAAAATTTAGTGAATTTTAATGTCTTAACCGTCGGAAGTGAAATCGAAATTCTTTGAAATTTCCAACTAATTGTACTGTTTTTGTTCTATTTGTGTATAATAATTGTTATAGGACAATTCATTTTTAGAGATACCACTGAATGCAATCCAGAAGAATTGAATACGAGGGACAATGTTATAGGATAGAACAAATTGAAACAAATAATCATGACCAAGAATAATAAGTAACTTCAGTGCTAACAGAAAAATGAAACAGGCTAACAGTGGACCCTTATTACAGTCTGAAGACATGCCTGAAGCAGAATCTTCCAGTTCCTTAGAACAGGGTAAATCTAAAAAGATTTCAACTAGTTCTTTAGGAGGAGATATAGCAAGACCCAAAGTTGTAACTGTTAAACACCCTGAATCAAATAAGCTCAAACCAACGGCAAAGAAAAACAAACAACCTATACAAGCCAACCTAGATGTATCTAAAGAATTTTTGAGGTGCAGAGATGAAGGTTTGAAACGTTTGGATTTGAGTAAGTCAAATATAACTTACCTTCCACCTACTGTTCGAGATTTACATCATCTGTCCGAACTTTACTTGTATGGAAACAAACTTGTGTGTTTACCTCCTGAGATTGGTTGTTTGACCAGTCTTCAAACTCTCGCTTTGAGTGAGAATTCACTTACTAGTCTACCTGATCCCCTGGAGAATCTGCGTTCCCTGAAAGTTTTAGACCTGAGGCATAATAAATTGAACGATATACCTGAAGTTGTATATAAACTGACATCATTAACAACATTATTTTTACGATTCAACCGAATACGATATGTCGGTGAAGAAATAAAAAATTTAACCTCATTAACAATGCTGAGTTTAAGAGAGAATAAAATTAAAGAATTACCTGCAGGCATTGGAAAACTAGTCAACTTATTAACTTTTGATGTGTCTCATAACCATCTTGAGCACCTCCCAGTGGAAATTGGTCATTGTGTTGATCTTTCAACATTAGACTTGCAACATAATGAATTACTGGATATACCGGACTCAATTGGTAACCTTCAGCAATTGACTAGACTAGGTTTGAGGTATAACAGACTCACTCAAATACCTCCAACACTTAGTAATTGCAAACATATGGACGAATTTAATGTTGAAGGCAATGCCATATCTCAACTTCCTGAGGGCCTGTTATCAAGTTTGAGCGAATTGACCAGCATTACTCTTTCGAGAAATAATTTCTCTGCATACCCTTCAGGGGGACCATCACAGTTTACTAATGTGGACTCTATCAACTTGGAACATAATCAAATTGACAAAATTCCTTATGGTATTTTCTCTAGAGCAAAAAATTTGACAAAACTCAATATGAAGGAGAATCAACTGACTTCATTACCATTGGATGTTGGAGCGTGGACAAATATGGTGGAATTAAATCTAGGAACTAATCAGTTGGGAAAACTCCCAGATGATATTCAGTCCTTACAAAGTCTAGAGGTAGGTTCCTTCAATATTTTTTTACATTTTGTAAAATTTGATTTGGGCAATTTATTTTCTTTATACATATATAAAGTAATTAGTTAAAAAAGGTTAATGCAGTCAAGCTGCTGGAATATAATTCCATGAAAATCAAAAGTTGAATAGATAAGTAATATTCTGATCATTCCCATATTGATTTCAATTCTAGAGCCACCGCTAGACAGCTGTTTCAGCCTGTTGGGCATTGTTTCTACCGGGCAGGCGGTCCTTGATTGAAGACAAAATGTGAATAATCAATAAAAGTACTTGATAAAAATAACTGTGTTAACACAAGCTGAACCACCTATTCTTGTTACACCCAGTAGGTGGTTCGCTATAGCACTCAGCCAGTTCAGAAATTTGTTCGCAACGACAAACACTTAATGTTTGGACAGAAATGTTAGGAGACTATATTTTAGATCCCTTCTTTATTGACGGTAATCTAAGTGCTATCAAATTACAGCTAGTACAGAATTCAATTATTCCAACAGTTCATCTACTTCCAAAAAATTTTGGGGACATTTGGTTTCAACAGGGTGGTTGTTCAAGTCACAATGCACGAGAACTGACACAATTTCTCCTAAATTTGTTTCTTGGTCGACTCATATCTACACATTGTACAATCAAGTGGCTTTCCAGATCACCAGATTTATCTCCGAGTTATTTATTTCTTTAGGGGTACCTATCTGAAAGAATGTGGTTATTGGCATGTATTTCAGAGACCCACAAATCTTGATGAATTAAGGGGTAAGTTTATCCTACTTTGTGCCAGCATGATATGGAGATACCTTCAACAAATGAAATCAAATGAAGTATTTTCATCAAATTCAAACTTTGTGAGGATATTATAATGAATATTTGATAGATGTTAAAATGTCTTCCTAGTAGTATTTTCAACAATATGTATGAGAGATTAGACCATAAAAATTATTATTAAGTTAATATTTGTCTTTGATAGTTTTTCCTACAGTTTGTCTCACTTGAACTTTAAAAATATCTGAATCTTTCTTATTTGAAGTTCTATTCAAATAATGTTTTCATTGTGAAGACTTACTTGATTATAAAACAAATTCAGTTTTGTGGTGCAAATCATATATTCCTGGTATCAAAAATGAGCACGATTTTTACTCCAATCTCGATCTTTCTGTATATTTTTTGTTCGAAGTCCTATTAATTTTTTTTATTGTATATAGTTTTTGATAATTGAATAGAACTGACCGATACTTGATGAAAATTCATATTAAAACTAATAAATACAGTTTGTTGTATGATCTTCACTATAAAGGGTTTTACAAAAACCGCGACACGTGTTTCGCTATACAACAGATTTCTCAAGTTTTTGAAGACTTTAAACAAATTGCTTACTAGAATAACAAATTATTATAGTTTTTGAAAAAACATCACGACATTTTTTTATGGAAAAAAAAATCATTTGGAGAAGTTGTTTGCAATTGTCAAAATCCTCATACTTCAAATACTATCCAAATACGAAATAAGACGTAATTAGTAAGAAATACGTTTCCCGTTCGTGAACGAATCATAGCAAAGTAGAATCAAAAATGTTTTTTGAAAAAACATAGACATTTTTTCATTGAAAAAAATTTGAAAAAGTTATTTGAAAATTTCTTGAATAAGTTTATCTCTAATATTATCCAAGTCACCTAATATACAGGATGTATCACTTCAACTTTGACCACTCTTGCATCCTTGCATTGAATAAAATGAGAGTGTTTTCAATTTGATTGAAGAGCCAAGATAAAGTCATCAACATATCATTTAATAAAAGGAATATTTTATTCTAATTTATTCAGAATTTCCATTAATAGGTCATCTGAAACAAAATTACATAAAATTGGGAGCAAACTTGAACCCATATGGGTTCCAAAAATTTTCTTTTAGTATTGATTATTGAACTCAAAAATATTTTATTTAAAAACATATTTCAATAAAATGGAAGATATTGTTGTGGAGGAATTTTGTTAGGCTATTGCCCTTTAGAAGATAAGTTCACCCTAGCACTAGTGCGTCTTATTTTAAACAGCTCATTTATTTTCTGTTATTCAAGAATGCTAGATCATTTGAAAACCTATAAATTCATTCTCCATGGGAAGTGTTCTCAGAGACTATAGTCAGTTCTCTTGCAAAGTAACATCTAATAGTGTTCTCCTGTAGATATTATTAAACTCAAGTCGCGTTCACTTTCAAATCTGACATATCCACAAGTTCTTGGTAAACCTATAAAGTTAGGGTAATAAAAATGATATCATTTTTCTCAAAAAATATTAATTTATTCATCAATTTATATTTTGTCCCCTTCAAAGTAATCCCCCTCAGATATAATACACTTATGCCGGCGTTTTTTCCAATCCTCGAAGTAATTCTGATATGCACTTTTTGATATGTCCTTGAGTTCTCTCAGCGATTTGGTATTCATCTTCTCAATCGTCGCAACACGTCATCTTTTCATGGGAACAGAAAAAAGTCGCAGGGGGGCAAATCTGGTGAATACGGTGGCCAAAGCATGACTACGGTGTTGTTTTTGGCCAAAAAATTAAGAACAAGCAATGACATGTGAGCAGGTGCATTATCGTGATGCAAAAGTCATAAATTGTTTTTCACAATGCCGGACGTTTTCTTCGTATTGCTTCTCGAAAGCGACACATAACTTCAAGAAAATACTCCTTATTGATGAGTAAATCCTTGTCATTTGATCGAACTTGGCGTTTTTCTTTGGTCTTGGCTCTCCTGGGCTCTTCCATTGGTATGATTGGACTTTGGTTCCGAAGTCATAACCATATCCTCATGATTCGTCACCAGTTATGACCCTTTTAAGCAAATCTGGATCACTGTTGATGTTATTCAACAATTCCTGAGCGATGGTCGAAATTCAGCAATTTTGGAAAGAACTTGTTGATCTATGAAAAGCATTTGATGTTTTTGATTTCCCTATATTACTTGAAAAAATTGAAGAAATGGAAATAAAAGGAAATGCTCTCTCTTTACTAAAAAAATACCTTCTATATCGCAAACATTTCACAATGGTTGATGACATTTCAAGCCAAACTGAAACTAGCAAAGCAGGTGTGCCCCACGGCTTGCCCCCCAGTCCTTGGACCCCTACTCTATACATTACATGTTCTGTTATTGAAAACTGCTAACATAATAGGTAGTTAATTTAAATTCGCAGATGATCCTGTTCTTGTATATAAGGGTAAAGACTTGAAACAACTCGAAACACTAGTAAATACCGACCTTGAAAGGGATTGCAAAAAATAAACTTCAGATCAATGTAAAGTAGACCCCTTTTATAATCTTCTCTCAGAAAAACATGAAACAACACGACATCACAGTGGAGATAGGAGGCAAAGAAATAACGAGAGTCCATAATACCAAATATCTGGGACTAATAGTCGATGAAAACCTATGCTGGAATAACCATATCACCCATATAGAAAAAAAAGTAATTCCAATGGTTAGTGCCCTATATCGTTGTAGAAGCTACTTACGCCCATCTTCACTCCATCAAATATACAGTGCATATTTCTTATCAATTTTCAGCAATTAAATTCCCATATGGGGTACATGTGGACAGACATTATTTAAAAAGGTAAAAATACTTCAAAACAAAGTCGTGAAAATGTTATTCAGGCTTGACTACAGAACCTCAGCTGATACTTTATACAGTGTAACCAAGATACTGCCTATTCAGAATGTTCTAGAAATGTAAATTTGCATACAAGGTTATACATGAACAAGTCAAATGTAATACCAACTTCACTTTCGTTAATCAGATCCACGAATACAATACTCATACCCATTATAATGTCTTTTTAGGACCTGTATGTACTAATATTGGCTTAAATAATCTCATTACACTTCCCAAGGAAATAACAGGTAGCCCTAATTTCAGTATCTTCAAGAATAAAATAAAGAGTTTTTATACTAGCATACTCAACGAAGGAACGGTTTAAATCTATTTAATTCTCTGTATTAATTACTATTAAGTTTTTTGTTTTATTCACATTTGTATTATGTATTCTCAAGTTAATCTTGATAATATTATTTTTTTGGGAAAGAAAGTTTTTGGCTTTCTAATACTCCATCTTGATACAAAAAAAAGGATGAGGGAATCTTCCAAAGAAAGGAAGGAAGAAATCAATTTGAAAATAAGTAACTCTATACATGGATGTGTAGATCATGCAAAGAAGTAACTTTCAGACACAAACTGGAGTAGTAGAAAGCCAAAAAATTTTCTTTCCCAAAAATTAATCACTCCTAAAAATATAACCCCTTCAATTCAGATTATTTTGTTGTACTGCATAAAGTATTATTATATTGTTTTTAGCTAGTTTTCCGAGACAAGCATGTTGGTGCCGTTTTGGATAACCTTTTTTGGGTAGTGCTGCTCAATTACTATTAAAAATGTTTATTGTAACCATGATTGCATTATCTGAATAGTTCTTCAAAAGAAAAATCGCTGCCACACGCTTCATTTTCAAAATTTACTAAAAAATTGCATGACATGAGCCAACCGATATGCTGACTCCCTCAGCAGCTTCTCTAATAGTGATTCGATAATTCCTTAAACAATTTTCTTTACTTTCTCAACATTTTCATCGGTTGTTGATGTGCTGGGGCGTCCAGGGCGAGCGTAGTCATTCACACCTTCTTGACCTTCTGTGAAAAGCTTATTCCACTTGTAAACAATTTTCTGACTTGCAGTACAATCACCGATGAAACATTGAAATTTTTCCATTGTGTGGGTTATCTTGCCTAAAAACTATGCCAAACGAATTATGGATTGAGAATTCTGACCAAAAATACAAATATTGTGGGGGGCACTAGAAGTGCCAATAATATTATTATCATTCAGAATGTAACTATACAAATATTAAGAAAAAAAATTGCAAGTCTCACTTCAAGTTAGCGGAATTCCTCACTATACATGCTGTTTATATTTATGAATGCATCAAATTATTTTTGAATAACATATTACTTTGATATACAAAAAATTACTAACTCATACCACACCATACACAGAAAATTTTGAAATCCCACATCATCATATCTTCTCACTGAAGAAAGGAACCCTAATTCATAACCATTACCCACCAAAAATCAAATCTAAGCAGTATTTTCAAACAGTGAAAACCCTATTGAAATTGAAATTAAACTGGAGCCATATTCTACTGAAGTATATTTCCATAAAATTCTCTATTTGACAACTATTATTTTTGATTGGCTTTTACATTATTTTCTGTAATATGTGCAGTAAATCATTATTATTAATTCACAGGTGTTGGTTCTTTCAAACAACCTTTTAAGAAGAATTCCTCCTAGTATTGGCAATTTGAGAAAGCTTCGAGTCCTAGATCTGGAAGAAAACCGTCTTGAACAGCTTCCCAATGAGGTTGGCTTCTTAAGAGAATTGCAAAGGCTCATAGTTCAATCCAATCAGCTGACGAATTTACCTCGAGCTATTGGCCACCTAACAAATCTTGTATATTTAAGCATTGGTGAGAATAACTTGGCATATTTACCAGAAGAAATTGGAACTCTGGAGAACTTAGAGTCCTTGTATATTAATGATAATCCCACCCTTCATAACCTTCCTTTTGAACTAGCACTCTGTTCTAATCTTCAAATTATGAGCATTGAAAATTGTCCATTGTCACAAATTCCTACAGAAATTGTAGCAGGAGGCCCATCTCTTGTTATTCAGTATTTGAAAATGCAAGGACCTTATAGAGCCATGTGATGAAAAAAGTAATTTTTTATTTAATTTTTTCAAGAATTTGCACTGTGATTCAACAGAACTGTAATGTAAAAGGATTTTTTTACATTTATTGCTTTAATTTGGATTTTCAGAATACTAGCTTCCAATAGACTGACTAAAAAATTGAATAATCAAAGTATATATTTTTCTTTTTATAAATCACTCCTGGTGATTAGGTATTTGAATGAGATGAGAGAAAAAAAGAGACATGATATTTTTCATTGAAACGTTTGATTTTAATTAATTGCCTTAGTATGATCAATGTATTTATAGCCATGCGAACAAAATGTTATTTGATGGCTTATTGGTGAATGTTTTGATAGTTACATAAATATTAAAATCATAAAGTAAGAGAATATCAGATTTTCATGAGGTAAACATTTATCCCGAAGGCATATTCTATTTAGTGATAGTATTTGACAGTAGATTGAGATTACTTGAAAAATGGTTAATAATCTACTGAAAATATTGATAGGAATATTTAAGTATATTTCCATGTAAAGTTCACTATTTCGAATAATGATTCAGATATGTAAATAATAAAACAATGGAAGGCGTTGAAGAATTGATAGTGGTACTAAATGGACACCCTTAGCTACAGACAGCAACTTAATTGGTTCTACATTACAGTAGTACAACTTCATAATTTACTTATGCGTTGAAATGATTAATAGATCCATCTGGTTGAGAAATTTAATATATACAAGAATTAACATCAAAACAATTATTGTTGACATGTTGAATATGTGATAGATTCTGAAGTACATACCATATAACAAATACAGCAATATAAAATTAATAAGCTTAAAATCTTGATAGATAAGTTAGTTCAAGGAATCACTTGCTTCAAAAATATTCTTTTTTTAAAATAAGAATTTTATATTTTTCAAACAGACTTGTAACTGATGATTTTACAGTGACCATTTTCATCTAGCAGCCAAAATGTTTGTAGGAATAATTGAAAATTTGAATTTTGGTCTAGTGAGGCTTAAGAGGAAGCACTTGATAGCTAATGTAAAATAATATTGTGCCACAACTGATAGATTTCTCAATGTTATAAAGACATGCTCAGAGATGATTCATTTATAGAGTTTATAGAGGGTTATACAAATTGAGTCTATAAAAATTGACACCAGCTCTTTTGTTTCCTGAGATTTATAGGAAAACCGAAAAATTGTAAGTTCTATTTTTGTCTGTATCTTATTATCAGAAATATTAAACATCTTTCCAAACTTTTCAACAGGAAAATTCAATTAGCTTTTGGAATATTTTCCTACAGAGTGCTGTACAACTTTGAACACCATCAACTTTGAAATTTTAAATATGGTCCTGTATTCTTTATAGCAATTTTGATTATCATCTGATATGTTTTTCTATTCATTACAGTCCTGCTAATTGCTTGAATGGAAGCAATATGGACTCTCTTATGTACCACAGCTGAGATGAAGTTATTTGGCGCTTCATTCTCATTTAAATAAGTAAAATGTTGTAATAATGTCTGTGAGGTTTCTCAAATTGCACAACTTCCAGATTCTTGAACTTTTGTATCTAGCCCCATTTTGGCTTTCTCAGTGTTCGATGGACACAGTTATAGCCTCTCAGGGTAGTCAATCAGTAATAAAAATATGAGCTATCATTTAAGAAAAATCAGTGTTATTGACCTCAAGTGTTATTGTATATGAATTAATTTCTTCTCATATAAAATACCTCGTAGAACGGTTAAGGCTTTCGCAGCCAAGGTTTTCAGTGTCACTAGTTTTCGGGTTTGAAGGCTGTCAATTTTTGGAATTTCTTCCTGAATTTTCGCTGGCGCGAGTGGCTAGCTTCTTCAGAGGTTAATACATCCTGAGTTATCTCCGATGACTGGATATTACGGCTGAGTAAAGTGTATTTATGTTGACTCAGGTAGTTGGGTGTGCTAATACATGTACTTAGATTAGGAAAGTTTGGTAAAGCCTGTTCATATTGACATGCTAGTTTGACATGCTAATACATGTACCTACATTAAGTAAATTGTCAATAACATTTGTCGACCTTTTTCTACTTGTCGTCATGCTGTTTGCTATTCTTGAACTTTTTAAAATGGGATTCTATATTCGGTTGAGGTTCACAGCTTCTTTTCTGTTGAAATTATCTGTGTGTACGTGGATCTATTTTGCCTTCCGCACCAGTCGGCTATGGTATCTCTGGTTGGTGGCAGTGAGGTTCGTGTTCCCAAACAGAATCCTGTAGTTTCCTTCACTGAATGTGTGTTCCTCCACAGGCGACTTGACCGTTTGGCCTAGTCTATAGTTTCTTTTGTGCTCCTTCAGCCTTGTTCCCATGGATCTTTTGATGGTTCCAATGTATACCTTCACACAAGTGCATAGTATACAATATACCTCTGCTGCTGATAGTGTGGCTCTCTTGTCTTTAGCCAACGTGAGACTTTGTTGTATCCTCTTGGTGGGTTTGAAAACCGTTTTGATGTTGTGTTTTCCCAAGAGTTTTCCAATTCTAACTGTGAGCCTCTATATTATTTGTACATAGTCAAACACAGGTTCGTATTTAAAATTTCTGGTGGCTAATTAAAAGTTCATTTAACAAATTTTGAACAGATTTTCAATATTCCTGCAAACAAAAAAGTTATAGCCAGCCACAAATAGATTTTGAATTGTGTGTCTGAAAATAAGTAACTTTATGCCTTACCCATGCACATACTAAAATAAAGTAGCTGTGAATATGTCCAAATTGTTGAAATATCTTTCAAATAGTCTACCAAGCAGATATGAATAGACTGAACAATATGTCTAAGGGAAAATTTTTCGAAAGTTCAATGACATACTTGAATATATTTAATCCTATCTAGTCCTGGCTACCGATTTTTTTTACCCAAATAACAGTTTTTAACAGGCCTACAAAATTAATTACTTTGAATAAACTTGGAAATAATATACCATAACGCGATTCATTTAGAAACCTTCCTAAGGGGAATTTTTATACTTGTTCACAGTTATTCAAATAAATTCAACTTGTCGTAACCATTTTTAAAGGCTTAGTGTGAAATTTTAAATTTTTTGTGGTTGATATACCCTTAGAAGGTTTCCTAATGATATATCTCTATATATTATTACTTCTCAGTTTATTCAAAGTATCTGCAACTTGATTGAACATCTCAGAGTATATAATTCGAATTTATTTCAGGAATTATCTCCTGATATATTGTTCCTAGTAATTCATATTCAACTGTTTGTCAAATAAAATATCTGTTTACCATGCTATTAATTTTTGAATACCATATGGGCTACAAATGTCGAATTATATTTGGCAGCATGATATAAGAACCATAGATATTGGTGTATCATTTGTTAGTTTTATCATAATTATTTTTTCCAACAATATAATAGCCAAATCCTTGATGGTTTATTGAATGCTGATAAAGTTTACCAAAATCTTTACACCATCCAATTCCTAAACAGATTGAGGAATTGATAGAAAGTGATACAAATTGAAAGGTCAACTTCAGTAATCGATGACACAATTCTGAACATATTTGGAAAGTTGGTGTATATCAATAAATCATATATTTCATTCAGAGACCCTATTGGGTATAGAACATGTCAATCACAATGAACAATAAAGAAGTTCTTATTCTAAAAAAGAAATCTATAGCTTTACAATCAATATTCACAATCACAAATATATAAAAACATACACTAATTCACTATTGTTTCATATTAAAATACTCAGTGAGGTCATAAAACAAATTAATTTGTAAATATTTTTTCATGACTTCGCGGAATCTGGATAGAGTGGTCTTATTTGTAATATTTACTGGCAACTTATTCTAAGCCTTTATACCCTTGGAAATTGGTCCCTTTGACACCAGATCAAGATTGTCAAGTCTGGGATAGATATTGCTGTTAGCTCTAGTTTGATATGGGTGTACATCATTATATCTCGGAAGTGTATTTCTGGTTCTGTAGATATAACATACCACCTCCAGTAGATACAAGCAGACTAATGGCAGGATATTTAACTCTGCAAATAGAGGTCTACAGGAGAGTCTGTTTGACATTTTCGTTATAGCTCGGATTGCTCGTTTTTGTGATAAAAAAAGAACTTATGCTGCCGGCATTGTTCCCATAGCATTATGCCATTTATATTCAAAATAAATTGACCAAAGTAACACTTATTATTTTTTTAGTCATGCTGTTTTATGCTGTTAATGTGAATATATAACTTCCTAATTTCATATATCTCATATTTGTAAACCAATAAATATAAATCTGTATGGAACAGAAGTATATAACAGTTTTAGGAATAATCTCAATCAAAAATTATTCGGAAAATGGAGTGATTTAATCGTTTTTTCAAATTCTTGGATGACAGGTGTTCACTAGGAATCATCTGATCCGTGCTAGAAGTCACACGTTAAAAGATAATGCCTCGTGAATCCGTAGTTCGCTCAAGATTCGACTTTAAACTTTACTGAAAATCTCATTGGTAGAAGATTCGAGAGAAGTTATAATTCAGACAAGTATAAACTGCGACATGATTCAATCGCAGAATGATTTGTCTTTTGGCATTTAGTTATTAAATTGAGTCATTTATCATTTTTAGTTATTCAGTGACTTTTTGGCTACTGAATAAAAATGATTGTTCGGTTCACAACAGTAAAATTTATACACTTAAAAAAAGCAAACCACTGAGTCTACTCAAAAAACTTTCAGTTTCCTCCAGTAAGGAAAAAAACAGATGTACCAGCAACTTGCCAAATTCGAAATTTGCTTATAACGAAATAGTTCACTAACAACAAAATGTTTATGTTTCAAAGTCCAAATCTATTTCCGTCTTCAAAACGAACGGGTTGGGATGGTTGCCGAGGATGGGAATATTTGTAGGGTCACCACAAGGATGGACCTTAACCACAAAAATTCAACCTAGAGACTTTTGATGAGCCAGCCACCGATCATCCAGGCCCAAACCTACTGCTAATAGTTCATGTTATGACTTCAGGGACCATTGACAGAGAACCGGTCAAAATTTCGATTTGCACTTTTGACCAACCCCTTAGTGGTTCTACTTAACAAATTTGAGAAATCTAGTATCTGCTATGTATGGTAATGCGGGGCTCTGCCGTGATTGACCTTCTTTCACTAGCTACTCGTGGGACTTTTATGGACAGAGTAAACTTGAAAATTCTTTCTGACGCTGAGTCTACAGAGGAGATGGATGTCGAGCTTATGACTCCAACTGACCTCCCTGTAAATTTAGATCAGGAGCGAGAGCTTCTCAACTCTCCAACTTCTGATCCAATAACTGAACCTAAAAAAAAAAAGGTTTGGTGGTGCAGCCAGGAAACGACTGAGTCGTC